CGAGGGAGCCGGGGCACTGCCCTGCCCGACGTAGGGGTAGGAGTCCTCCGAGTCAATGCCCCTGTTCTCCTTCACGTACTCGAAGGCGTTGGTCATGTAGCCGCCCCCGCAGCCGTCGTTTTTGGTCACGCAGTCGACCAGGTTCTGGGGGCTGAGGGAGAGCATCTTCCCGGTGCGGCGCTTAAGCTGGCCCTCCAGCGCCCCGACGGAGCTGAACGCCCAGCAGGAGCCGCACTGGCCCTGAGGCAGGGGAGGGGAGACGGTCAGAGGGAGGAAGGGAAGGGGGAAAACGGAAACCAGCCAGCGTGTGGGGTAAGGAGCTCGGAGTTTGATCTCGGTGACCCTGGCGTAAATCCGGAGTCCCTCCACTTCTGTGGCCATGAGCCCAGAACGCAGCCCCCGGACCGGTGCGCGCAACAGGGCGGAAAAGGAAGCACCGACCTTGGAAGAGAGCGCCGCTTACCTGGTTCTTCACCGGCGTCACGTAGCCCTTCTTCCTCCAGTCCACCGAGTCTGGCACCTTCTCCTCCCAGTCGGGAACGTAGACCGTGTCATTGCTGCGCGCGTGCGACAGCGGGACCTTCAGCCCGGTCATCTTCTGCACCACCTCCTCGCTGGTCTGGGGGAGGAGAGGCAGGCGGGGGGCCGAGCCGGGCGCTGGCACAGTCCCGTGGTCACATTAGGCCAAAGCGGCCACACATGGCCCAGAGTAGGAGGTGCGGGCAGGGAGGGGCAGTGATACCAAGGGGATTGCACAGGAGAGAACTTCAGCGTAACGAAACCTGCCGGGCCGGTATACGCCCTGGGAGGAGAGGAAAACGAGTTCCCCCCAAGAGAGAGAATTCCCCCCCCTCACCCTGCCATGAAACGCATGTTTAAGCTGGTGCAGTACGGAGGGAGGGACCTATAGACACGGAGGCAGGTTGTGTCTCTAGGGAATACCAAGGGGATTGCACAGGAGAGAACTTCAGCGTAACGAAACCTGCCGGGCCGGTATACGCCCTGGGAGGAGAGGAAAACGAGTTCCCCCCAAGAGAGAGAATTCCCCCCCCTCACCCTGCCATGAAACGCATGTTTAAGCTGGTGCAGTACGGAGGGAGGGACCTATAGACACGGAGGCAGGTTGTGTCTCTAGGGACCGGCAGCCAGACTCGGTGCATGGACAGATGGGGATAGGAGCAAAGTTCTTTCTTGTGGTTGTGTGTCGGCCAGCCGCGCCTGCAGACCCCAAGCAAGGCCCTACTGTGCCAGGCGCTGCCCCCAAACCGCCTCTCTGCAGACCCCAGGGCGCGCCCGAGCTAAGGCGTGGCAGGACTCGGCCCACGAAAGGAGGGCGAGGGAGGACTAAGCTGTGATGCAACCAACCAGATACCTCAACTTTCCTACCGGCAGCGCCCATTGCTATGGCAACGCAGCGCCCTCACCCCCAGAGAGGACGTCACCAGGGAAGGGCGGATGAGATGCCGGAGCACGAATAGTGTCACCAAGTTCTGCCTAAACGTGACACCGACAGAACCCCCCTCACCAGCGTGTCTACTACCTGCTGCAAAGTTTGTCTGCCTGTCTGTGGAAGAACACCTCCTAAACGGGAAGAGCTAGGACCACCCAATGCCGCACGCAGCCTCCTCTTATAACTTACATCAAGGAGTGGATTTGACTGTGCCAGGGAAACGGGATGTGCCTGGAATGGGACTGATTCTCATAAAACCACACGGAAAAGGGAATCACCAAGCAGGTGAAAGGGGCTGGCTGGGGGTGTGCCCCCCTCCCCCCGAGCCTCCCACCCTCCAGGCACTCTTTAGGGAAGGAGGACTGCAGCTCCCCCCCCAATTCTTATGGAGACATTGCTGGTTCCCCTTTGTCATTGTCAGGGAGCGAGGGGAATTTGCACAAACTTAACGGCATTAAGGACCCAAGCAACGCCAGGGAAATGTGCTACTCTTTAATCTATTTACCCTCCCAGCCCTTTGAGAGGCAGGATGGTGCGGTTCTCCTCACTGTACAGATGGGGAAACTGAGGCACGGGGTGACTAATCCAAGGTCACCCATTGGCTCTGCAATGAACAGGGGATGGAAGCCTGACCTCCTGCGGGCCAGAGTGGTGCCCTGAGCATTGGATCATCCTTCCCCTCCAAGAGTCCTTCCAGACCCCCGAGCCCTAGCTCCTCAGGGACGGGCCACTGGAGGAAGCCAAAGGAAAGCCTTGCAGGACTCCAGCGGGCCTATCGGGCCAAACCACCGGAGTGGATCTAAACCCGTTCCAGGCCGCTGAGATGCCTTCCCATTTAGCAGCCTAAGGAAGGGTGGGCCGGTGCGGAGGGGTCGCCATCCCCAGATGGAACACACAGCCCGCAGCATTCGGGGCAGAAGGGCAAGAGAAGAATGCGTCCCTGCCTTGAAGAGCCTCTGCTCAGAGCAGTGGGGCAGACACAGGGAGAGAGGGGAAACTGAGGCACGGGGCTCCAGGCCACCGACAATCGCGGGACGGACAGACAGACATAGGGTAACATTGCTGCAGCACCCACGGATAATTCAGAGTACTTTCCATCCACCTACCATGTCCCCCAGGTGGTTCATGGCCAGTTCGTAGGTGTGACTGCCCAGAGAGAACTCCAGGTTGTGGGTGTTGATGTACTTGAGGTTCTTCTCCCAGATCAGCCGCCGTGAGAGCTCGTCCATCTGCGGAGGGGGACGGAGAGAGGGATATTCGTGAACAGAAATGCACCGAGCTATTGGACTCCAAGAGCCAGACCCTGCACGGGCTCCGGGAGTAGGGTCTGGAGGTGAGAAGTACCTAGAATACAGCCTCCCCAATTGCCCTGGGATGGAGGAGGTGTCGTGTGTCTTGAACCCAGACCTGCCGGTCTCCAGACACCTGCCACCCACTGGCTGCTAAAACCCAGTGGGCTAACTAGTGCCTAGACCTAAGCACCCCAGTCACAGCCCCGCCCATAGGAGCTCTGATTGGTGGATCGCCCGACTCCACCGATTGGTCCAGCTGCGCTATTTAAGAGGAGGAACAGGAAGTCTGACTGAGAAACCAGGTGGTTTCCTGTTGTGGCTGTATCACAACACCTGCCACCCACTGGCTGCTAAAACCCAGTGGGCTAACTAGTGCCTAGACCTAAGCACCCCAGTCACAGCCCCGCCCATAGGAGCTCTGATTGGTGGATCGCCCGACTCCACCGATTGGTCCAGCTGCGCTATTTAAGAGGAGGAACAGGAAGTCTGACTGAGAAACCAGGTGGTTTCCTGTTGTGGCTGTATCACACCCCCCCCCCCCCCCACATGCAGCCCTGTTCCAACTTCTGCCTCAAACCCGCCTCCGCAGGGCCTGTTCCCCTCCGTGCGCGCCTCCCGTCCGCGGCGACCGGTCCCAGCTCTGATCTGAGTGACCCTTCGCGCCGACCGTCAGCTTCGACCACTGGCTCTGGGAACCGATTCTGATGACCACCCTCGACTTCATTCCCCAGCCTGCGCACCTGCTCTACCCACTAGACCAGACTGCCTATATCCCGGCCCATTAGAGCCTGCCAGCATCCACGTAACATCCTGAAGGCGCGGTTGCTTCCAAGCTGCATTAGAACCGCCCAGGCTGCCCGTGGGCCGAGGTTCATCTCCGGGAGCTGCCTCCTAGCGGGGAGACTGTGCAGCCTCGTATGCAGGAGTCAGGCTTAGATGCTCATAAGGTCCCGTCTGCCCTTCGAGTCCAGTCGTATGTTCCCCAGGGCCCTACGGCTGCCCCTCGCTGCCAGGGCCCCTGGGCACGGTGTGGGGGATGGCTCTGTGCTCTGGGGGGGATTTAAAGGGCCCGAGGCTGTCGGCAGTGGTGGGGAGCCCTGGGCCTTTAGAAACCCCAGCCGCAGGGCCACTGCCCCCTTTCTCTCTCCCACACACACACACACCCACCCCCCATCAGAAGCCTGCACGCTGCCCCTCCCTTCTCTGGTTCTGGGGTCTCCCCTAACCCCTCTGCCCAAGAACCAGCAAGGCCTGCTGGTGCCCACGACACTGCCCCCTCCACTCCCGAACCCCATTACCTGGGCGAGGCGCTTTCCAGCCCAGAGCCCTCGGTCAGCCACTGAGCCAATCCCATCGTGCTCTGGTGGGGGACCACAGGGCCCTGCCTTTCCTCACGCCAGGGCGGAGCGGGTGTCACGCCGGGGCCGGCCTCAGGGCTTGGCCAGCTGGGCCCGTGCCCAGTAGGGATGTAACATTTCCATTCACCGGCTAATGGAATGGTCGATGCCTTTTGCATGGACTATCCGATTAGTTGGGAAGGGCGCCTTTAGCCCTGCTGCTACGCTTCAACGGCGGAAGCGCTGCAGGGAGCAGGGGGCCAGCGGGGGACTCAAGCCGTCTCCCCAGCAGTCCCCACTGAACCTATGCTCCCTGCGGCGTTTCAAAGCAGCCATGGAGCCCGGGTCAGCGGGAGAGTCCCCACATCACCCCGGGCTCCACACAGCACTGCCCCTTTGAAGCACCCGCTCTCCTCCCCTCCCCCTTGCTGCCTCTGTCAGAAAGAGGCAGCAAGGGTGGGAAGCGACCAGTCGACTAGCGTGTTGACTATCTGAGAAGCATTTGCTCATCGAAGAGTCGATTAGTCGTTCGCATCCCTAATGCCCAGAGCACCATAGCTAGTGAGGGAGGACAACTGGGCACGGGTGTTGCTGGGCAAAGGGGGCGGAGGGAGCTGGACCTGGGGGCTGTGTGCCAGGGGCACAGGTTGGAGAAAGTGCAGGGCTGGGCAGAAGGGGGCCCTGTGCAGAGGGGCAAAGGGGGCCCAGGATGGGGATGCCAGGGCTGGGAAGCCCACGGGTGCCAGGGGAAATGGGTGGTGCCAGACCCACAGGGGTCAGGGCACCAAGTTTGCCCAGGGCCCCATTTTCCCTCAGACCGGCCCTGTGTAAAGCGCTGCGGTCCCGCCACTAAGGGGATCCAGCCCCATGGCCTTCACCGAGGAGACAGACCTGGGCACTAGCGGCACAGCTGCTGCTTGGGGGGCCCCGCCTGCCGAGCATTTAGGCGCC